CTGTGGACCAGAACATTTCCTGTGGGCCACTCATGAGAGAGACAGCATGGGATAATTTTGGATCCTGCCAATAGGGCCCTCGAGGGTAGAGAAAACCTCAGAAAAGGCTGGATCCTAGAGGCTAGGAAGGAATCACAAAAGATTATTTTGAATTGAGATGGGAACTACTTGAGAGGGAACTCAGCAGAGAACCTCCAAAGAGGTCATGCAAGTGCCCAGAAGAGAGAAAGTCAGCTAAATCATCTGCTGGGTCCAGAGATTGTAAACCCAACCAGCCAAGGAAGAGCCAACTGCATCCTCTCACCCCTCACCATTCCTTCCCCCTCCTATCAACCCTTTAGCTCCACCGAGGAATGAAACTGCAGGCTACAAGCCCCAGAGAAGCTATACGGGGAGAAAGCTGAGAACAGAGGGATCGTGCCGCCTCCTCCACTGCTGGCTTTTAGCCCAAAGGAGGCCCAAGCTGGAAGATGTGAGTTAAGGTTAAGTCAACTTTGAGTTTTGACTTATTTCATAGAACCAGACATTTTATTTACTGAAAACTGTTTTTACAAATAATCATGACTGAAGGATATTTTTTATTATCTGTGAGTGATCTAAAAATATATAGGTCAGACCAAGTATTCATTCTGGAGCACTGGAGCATATTCCCACTATATAAAGGACACTATTTTTATGTTTTTATCTCAAGCCACATACCATGCCTGTTCAGCAAACCACTTCCATACATGAGAACCATTTTTTCATTGGAATTTTCCCTAACAAAATATCCCTCTACCTTATGATAAAAGAAAGCTTTTGCTTCAGATTCCATTCTTGGTTCCTGAGCTTATTGATAGTCTCTGTCTTGTGCTTCTCTTAGATTATGATTCAAACTACCTTTTGTTTTTAGAAAAAAAACAAAAAATATAATCCTATGTACTAACATGAAAGAGAAAGCTCTCTGAAACAAGTTCTTAAGAAAAACAAGTCTATAGTGCATTACTTTGCTTTTCATACATGAACATACAGTATTACAAAGTTTCAGCTAATTACAGCCAAGGTTAAATTTTGCAACCAACCCAGAACTCAAAAAAGGCTGAGTACAATCTGCCTAAATGGCTGTTCTCTTTTTGCGGTGGGGGAGAGCAGGGCGCTCCTTATCATTTAGCTTTCTTAACAACTTTCTAAAGAAGTTTCCTCCTCCCTCCCCACCCCATTACATTCATTTTATCTGTCTTTACAGTGGCATTTATTCACTACCTGAAATTGCTTACTTGTCCACTGTCACCCTCCAATACACAGCACATACACATAAGCATATGAACACACAACTGAAGTCTGTCACAGTAGGGTTCTTGTTCGTCTTGTTTCCCACTTACATCTCCTGGACCTAGAACTACTTCTGGCACATCGAACTCACTGAACAGATAGTTGGTCCATGAGGAGGGGCGACAGAAATGAAAGGGAACCACAGGATACCTAGGCAACCTTACCAAAGCCTCTTTGTTCTTTAAACTCTCCATTCCTTATTGCCCCATCTCCCCTGAACCTCTAGCAAGTTGGCTTTATTTATTTATTTATAAACAACAATTATGTCTCACAATTCTGGAAGCTGGAAGTTAGAGATCAGCAAGTCAGCACTGTCAGGTTGTGGTGAGGACCTTCTCTGCAGACTGTCAACTTCTTGCTGTGTCTTCACATGGCAAAAGAGGCTAGAGAGCTCTCTGCGGTCTCTTTCAAAGAGCAGCAAACTGGATTTATTTTTGATATTCTACTGAAATGAAGTTTTTGGGGAAAAACCCACAAATTTTGCCAAATGCATGTCATTTTTTTTGGTCTCCCTTCTCTTTGGCCTTAGCCACATACAACTGAGTGCCCCTCCAAATAACCTTTCTTGGTTTATGCAACTCGACCCTATCCTAGTTCCTGGGCTAATTCTGCAACACTGGAGTTGACTGTCAACTTCAGCCACGTCCGATTTTGCTTCCGCTTTATCTCTAAACTGGCCTGGCACATTATAGGTACATCGTCTTATGTTGAACAGTTGAATGAACCATTCTCTCTCATCTCCTATGGACATCCCCAGATCTTTGAGTCTCTCTTAATCGTCTTCTTTCTGGGGTTTGTATATTTTCAAATAGTTTTCACCCATTACTGACTCAAAGGTGGTTACTGAAGTTCATCAGTCAGGAAACTGAATCATTTTCTCTTACCATCATTTCTATGTCTACCAGATCTCACCATCACCTCATGTCTGTTTAAATTACCTACACCATTCTAGCCCTAAAGTCAACTGCCTTTCATATCTCTCTGTTCATTATTTGCAAATATAGCTCTCCAGCCCAGACTTTCTACTTGAACTGCCCATTAGATTTACTCACTTCTTCCTAGACATGTCCTTCTGGTGTCCCACGGGCATCTATCTCAATGAAACCCAACTTTATAATTCCCTCTGCCCCCACCCTGCCTTTCTCTCAGTGAATTCACCAGCCACCTCCTTGCCCTACTCAGAAACCTGTCATCTAAGATTCCCATCTTCCCGATATTTTTGAGGCCTGCTGCACTAGCCCCAGTGCTGTACTTTTATATATATATATGTGTAATCCTGTAGAATCCTAACACAGCCTGTGATACAGGACAGGGGCCTTGGACACTATTCCCTTTGATTCAGGTTTTAGATGTTCTCAGAATTGCCACCCCTCTCCCCCGCCTCTTACAGCCAGTCCCACTGCCTCTGCCTTAGTCGATGTCCTCATGATTTCCACATGGTATTTAAGAACCTGATGCCTGGTTTTCCAGCTTCAAGACATCACATCCACACCACCTGCCACATTAATTTTGCTCATAACTAATCATTACACCGTGTGCTTGAAATCAATGATTTATCATTGCTTGAGGCTAAAGTCCAAACTCCTTAGCATGGTCCTCAAGACCTTTCATGTTCTGATCATAATTACCCCTTCTAGATTCTCTTGCCCTCCCCGTCTCCTGACAAACCAGTTATCTGTGATTAAAAGTCCAAGTAAACAATATACAAGACATGAAGCACTCAGATGTTCCTGGGTCTCATTTCAGATGTCCATTGATGACACCCATCTGGTCTTGTGTCCTCTGCCCAAGAAACACAACTTCCTTGATACTCAACCCTATCCTAGTTCTGGGCTGTTCAGTGAAATAACCCAGCTACAGGTGTTGGTTAGACATGTCAGTTTCAAAGGAACAAGAATGGTATTGGTCCCAGGCATCTTTTGTCAGATCCTAATCCACTGCCCAAACCAACTTTGACCCTCTGGAAATCATTATGTCAGACAAAACTTTTTACAAAGTAGTATTCAAACTGATTCCACCTGTCTGTGCTTCATTCTGAATGTATTAACCCAGCTCTTTCCCATTGCTTCTCCTTGGGTCTTAAAATCAGTTTAGGCTGTAATCAGTACAGCTTTAATTGGTCTGTGAACTACCTATGATTTCTGTGGATAATTACCAGTGCATTAATTTCCCACTGAAACCTGCTTTGTGCCAAAGGCCATAAGCATAAGCAAATGAGATAAGCTCACCTTATATTCAATACACAGACCTTTCTCAACACATCACTGCCTACCTCTCACCTTATCCCTTTGTGCCAATTGTCTTTTCCTGACCCTGGATTCAGAAATTCCATACGTCTTCAGGTCAGTGCCCACTTGCCTCAAAGCCTAATATTTATTCCATACTGGGTATTACCTATCTTAATAGGCCCTTCCATTACTCAGGAAACCATTAGTAACACCGGCATTTCAGAAAGATCTTAACGAGTCAGATTTCAGTTCAAGCCAGAATATTGTTTTCATACATTGGGAAAAGCTCAATATATATCAGCCTGTACTGCTATGCAACTGAATTTAACAGATCTAAAGGATGAGTTCAGAGCTGAGGAAAATGAGGGCAGGAATTAACTAGTACCGGGAAAGCAAGAGTGCATTAGAGGTAGTTGGTGAGGCAGTGAAGATCATGAAAACCTTTTAAGGTCAGGTTAAGAATGTCATCCTAGATACAGTGAGGTACAAGTTAGACGGCATAGCTTGGCCACTTTACCATTTTATGGTGGCTGTTCAACACTTGTACTGCTTAATGTTCTGTCCTCTCACTCAGTAGTCCAACAAAAATTAACTTTTTTCATTTGAACAAACTCTAGCAATAAACCACCCAAACTGAGGAAGCATGGCACTTTAACTCAGGAAAATTAATGATCACCCAGTTGAGGGTTAAAAAAATTCGACCAGGGACGAATTTATCATTGCCTTCAGTCGGGCTTTACTCCCTACTCAATCCACTGCATCTGCATGTGGCCCTAGACTTTCTTACACATCTAGCAGGTTGCTTTTTTTACTTAACTGGCCATTTAAAACCTCATACAGCCTACATGTTAAGTGCCAAGCAAACGCTTTGGATACTGGGATGATTTAAGTTCACCTTTCCAAAACAGAACTCACTCAACTCCTATCCAAGTTCTCAATGGTACCCCAAGCCCTATGGTATTGTATGGGATTGACAATCATTCCCCAAAGTCATTAGCCTAGAGCAGATGAACGTCACCAAAGGAATTAAGCTATGCTCTTTCATTTACTCTTACCATTTTAACTATCCACATATATACATCACATGAGCTGTGCTACTTTAACTTAGCATATATTTTACATCATCTTTCAGTGTTGTCTGCTTAAAGTAGTCCTGGAAATCTGCTTGTTTCTCATTCTCTTAACCAGTCCCACAACCCAGTCCAAGTCACTTTTCAAGTAAATCACTACAGGCCTATTAAAAATACCTTAGCACACCAGATTCTCTTTTAAAACCAAAATGTTTATTGTGTGACTAATCACTGAAATCCTTAAGATGAACTGGATGCTGCAACAGCTGCCCTCTTGGGTTTAGGTGTTGTTCCTTCACGGAATCCATGCCTGCACCATGTTAAAAACAAGAACCATTACTTCAGCAACATCGTATACGTACTTTAATTTTTACTAAAACAGATTTTAACGAGCTTATCTCAGTTAAATGGCTGAAATCAATATTGAATTCATATGTTCAGACATTTATTTTTACAACATCACTGATAAGCTGCAACATTTTATTTACTTTTCGCTTCAAGATATCCATTAGAGATACAGTTAACTACAATTAAAACAAAACAAAACAAAAAAAAACTCCTCAATTTGTACTGATCACTGGGCTGGTATTTCCCCACTGCAGGTTAAGAGACTTAAAGTTATTTGTGAAAATGGGTTCGAGTCAGATACTCTTACTTTCCTTTAACCAAGGAAAAACAATAAGTATGTTTAATGACAGACATTTTCTAAACCGCTTGACTATGCTTTACATTTCCACTCATTTAATATTCATACCTTCTCAGGAAAGTGTACTGTTATCCCCCTTAAAAAGATTCGTGAATTGAAGCACAAGAAAGTTAATCTCTAGCTTTAGTTTGTGCTCTTACATTATACTAGCAGACCACTCAATACTCATTACTAAGTCTATGCTACCATATAATGGTTCTAAGTGCAAAAGAGAAAGGTCACCTCACTACATGAACACAAATACATCTAGCAGTGTTGTTTACAAAGCCTTTAACTACTTTGTGATCTTTCAAAATTAGAAAATCTTGAATTGAGTGGGTAGAGACCAGGAATTCTGCTAGATATTGCATAAGACAGCCCCCTTCAAGGAATTATCTCAGCTGAGACCTTAGATGGGTTAACCTTTTAAAAGCTAGTGTTCAAATAGTTTATAAGTCTAGGTTGGGGCTGAAATTTCTGCATTCCTAACAAACTCTCAAGCTGGACTTTAAGTAACAAAACCATAATATTTCTTTTTCATATAAACACAACAGCAACTATGACCAAATCTATAGCAGACTTGCCCAAAACCACAACACCGAACGCCTGACTCCAGACATCAGTCTTGACAAATTTTAGTAAGAAAGTAGATATTGCTAATATCACATTTTGAGGGATCTAGCTCAAACTACGCCCTAGACATTTATAACTCATTTTTGTTTGCTGAAAGATTAAGAAAATGTACATTAACAGACCTGAAGGTTATGGTGGCAGAAGAAAATTCCTTCCAACAACTTAGCCCCACTAATCATGATAGTATTATTTCCAATCAGGAAATAAATGACATGAATCTTATCTAAGCTCATAGAACCAATTATAATCAAAAAAACTGTACCTGAATCTGCGGTATACAATTTTTAGGTGTCTCATTCGACCAGTCCCAGTGGTATTTCGTCTTTTAGCCTTGGCACTCCAGTTATCTAAAACAAATAATTCAGGTATGGTTTTAAATGATTTTTCCCAGACACCTTGTAGGAACTGTCAGACAATATAGTTAAGTGCCCTCCTTGTGTTTTAAAGCAGTTTCATTGGCACACAGATGCACAATTCTACCTTAGGTGCCAAAAAATGTCCAAAAGCCATGCCTCACTCAGGTAAAATGCAAACAAGACTACTCTTAACTTCAAGATCCATTCCAATACCTAACAGTCGGCCTGAAAAAACATTCAACTTACACTTTCTCTTCCTCTTGGCGGGGTAGCCACATTTGCCACAGGTAGACTTCTGAAGGTGGTAGGCCTTAGAGCCACAGCGGCGGCATAATGTGTGTGTCTTATTGCGACGCTTTCCGAATGACGACGTTCCCTTCGTCTGTAAATTAAGGGGATAAACAATTCTGAAATCCAACAGTTAATATACATTTCACGTAAAAAAACTACAGAAAAGATTTAAAGCCAGTCATAACGGCTGAAACTGTGGGAGACGTTTCTAACTTTTCTTAAATGTTAACTCAGAAACCACTACCGGCATTTCACATTTATCTAAAGCCTTTCGCAAAAGTTGCTGTTTTTAAATCTGCTACATTAATTTTTAAAAAAGAGGCGTAAAGCCAAAGTCGACATAATGTGGTTTTCCTACCTACCCTTACCCAAAAACCTAAGGATTTCTGCCAGGCACGACCACCACCAAATTCCTTTGCTTACACATTAGCCCAACATTCCCAAACCAAGCTTCATCCAAGGGCAGGGCTGTGTGTACTCCCCCAAGGCCAGATCGAAGCAAGGGACCTAAAGCAGCTCCACTTCCACGACTGCAAGCTCGGCAGTCCTGGCACAGTTAGGGGCCATTCTTCTGGCTCTTGAGGGCCACAGCATGCCCCTTTCCTGCCCACTCGCTCCCCTTATCGAGACCTTGCCGATACCCCCATGAATAGGAAAGAACGCACCGCAGAAAAGGAGGATGGAAGGGGATTGATAGATACGTTGCAAAACACTCACCATCTCGCTTCTGCAGCCGACACCAAAGAGGACGGAAGAGAAAACACTTCCGCTATATCACGCTCAGAAGCTTCCGCCCAGGGAAGTACTTCCGGAGGGGCGCGGTGCTTCGTTCTCAAGAGTCCGCCGCCGCAGTGTGGGTGGAGTAGAGAGGAGGATCCGAGCCAGGCGGGGCCAGTACGGGTTTCCGCTCCCGGCAGGAGGGCGGGACCAGAATTTGCGTCTGAGCTTTGCTGCTGGTACTGATTCTTCTCTTGTACCTACTCCTCCTGATCCTGGCGCTTTGGGCGTTTTCAGTTTGAGTTGTATCCACATTGTAGATTCTGGTCTTCGAGCTGATGGAGAAGTTGCCGCTCCCGGTGGTACCCGTGCCTACTCAGCGCTCCCGGCGTGTGTGTGTTTTTTGCGGGGGAGGGGAGGTCCTGGTGGGATTGGGATCCTGATCCGGGAGAAACCAGTTTCTCCAGGTTCCCCTTCATTCTGGCTGGAAACTTTTTGGCTGAGGCTGATTCTCACTGAGTTTGCTGGGTTTGCCAAGGCACAGACCGGCCTTTGAGGAGGTAGGCTCAGAATCTAAAAGGAAAGGCAAATAATGTTTTCTTTTTCTAACTAGTATTTAAAGGCAGATGTTTTTATTCCAAGTTTCATTGTGCCAAGGACTCACACGTGGAACTTAGTAAATAGTGTCCTGCACTCTGAAGTGAGGAAATCTGATTTAGCAGCTTTAGGTAAGGCATGGAAGTCTGTACTTAAAAAACATTTACAGTTTCAAAATTGGTTCTCAGACCTCCTTGATAAACACTAATCCAGTTGTAATCTCTTAGCCAACAGAAGCCCCGACCCTCGAAAAACGGGAAAATATCTGAGATCATAGGGAAAAATCTCAAACAACCTTAAAATATGCTTTCTAAAACTAAGAATTCCTTACCTGTCATATGTGAAATATCAGCAAAGGTAATTGACTAACCACTAGCAAAACAAGATGAACTCTAAGAATCACTAACCTGTTAATTCTGACAGGTTAACAGTCGATAAGTGCCTAATAAGTACTAGACTCTTTGCTAGGGACTGGGAATAGAAACATTAACAGGAGATAGTTCCTGTCTTCATGGAAGTGGTAGGTGAGGGGTGGCAGCGAGGGTACAAAGAGAAAAACCAACATTTGAGTCCTTGGACCAAACTGCAGTCCAGGGGGATCTTTCTGCATTGGGCACTTGTATCAGTTTCCTGTTGCTATTCCAATAAGTTACCACAAACTTAGTGGCTTTAAACAAATTTAATCAACGAGTATAAAATCTCAGTTACACACAAGGAACGAAGTATAGAGATCTGCTGTACAATACTGTGCCTACAGTTAACAGTTTGGTATCATACTTAAAATCTGTTGAAGAGGCTAGATCTCCTGTCAAGCATTCTTACCACAATTAAAACACATATTATCTTATGGTTCTGGTCAGAAGTTTGAGATGGGTGTCACTGAGCTAAAATCAAAATGCGGACAAGCTTGCGTTCCTTTTATGACTCTATAATGTTTTCTTGCCTTTTTCAGCTTCTAAATGCTGCTGGCATTCCTTGGCTTATTCTCTCCTTCCACCTTCAAAGCCACTAATAATCTTGCTCACATCACATTACTCTTCTGCCTCCTGCTGCTACTTCTAAGACCTTGTTAAATTAAACGAGGAGGCCATTAGACTGAGGTAGCTCTAATGCCATAGCTGCTTACATAAGCAAGCCAAGATCTAAGCCTGTAAATGCCTCAAGGTACATGAAACCAAAATGCTAAGGACAGCCACTCATAGCTACTTAAGCTTTAAGCTTTAGCCAATTAAACAATTTCCTTTCTCAGCTTTTGCACTTTATATGTCTTTTCTTTGGCTCCTGAAGTCTAAGTGTTTTTGGAGAGTGGGGATCCTCTCCCGGCATGTTGTCCAGGTTCTTGATGTCTCGAACAAAGAATTGAGTAAGACACCATAGTACAGTAGAAAAGAAAAGATTTATTAGAAGGGAAAGTACGCTTCCAGACGTGGAAGTGAGCATGAGCAAGAGAAGTGTGGCTCAAAAGGCCTGGTAACAAAGTCTTTGGCGTTTTTATCCCTATTTGCTGTGGGTAGTCACTTTTCTTAGAGGGGTGGGCTTCCTTGATTGACAACTAAGACTGACAGGACTCAGTGCTTCATTTGCTTTCTGCTCATGTTTGTTCCCAGAATTCAGTCTGTTTTAATGATATTAATGAACTTCTGGGCATATGCATCATATTATAATGATAGTATAAGGAGGCTCAGATAGGTCGAAGGTCGTTGGGGTCTTTATTGCGCAGGTGCGAGTGACTGGCTTAAACTGGTACCTAATTCTCTGCTTGTTTCTTTGTGTGAGTTAAAATATGCCTTCTGGCTTGCTTAATTGTGGGCAGATTAGGACAGACCAGTCTGGGATAGGATGACCTCAGTGTCTTTGCAGGCTGACCCGAAACCCACTAACTAACTTTCCAACCTAACTCTTTTCTAAGAGCCATGAACCCCTTTATTAGTATGGATGTTGATAGAAAGAAGGTCTCTTTTTCTGTGACTACTTCATGATGAACAAGGGCCAGTTGTCCCTGCCTACTGGGTGCCTCAGTCAGGGTGGGGTGCCACCTCAGTCCCTAGACAAGGAAAAGAACGTACAAACTTATTATTTAAATCATATGTCTATTAATTTCTATTATTGATTTGCCTATTAAGCAAGTAAAAGGAAACAGGCTTGGTTAATATATTTCTTAAAGAGAAAAAAAAAAAAAGACCTTTGCCTAAA